TGTGAGCATTTTTTAAAATGCTGTAAGTATATTCATATATGAAATAATGTATCATAGCACATATCTCTGTGATTAAAACATTGTAAATATTCAGTAAAAATGATTTCCCTTGCTGCCCTGCTCTAGGAGAATCACATAAAAACAGGAAACGACAATTTCAAAAGGCTTTCCCTTCCAGGCTTTGCACATGCTGTTCCTCCATATTTCCTTGTTTCATGTGATTAGCTGCTTCTCCTTCTTCTGCTCTCAGCTCAGTCATTCCTTACTTCAAGATTTTTTTTTTTTTTTTAAGGCTGAACTTTATGTGTGGCTTCTGGTAGTCTCTGTGATTTATTCAGCTGCCCTGTAATAACTTGTTGCTTTTTCTGACTACCACACTAAATAGTGGTAGTGCTTTCTCTCTGAGAGCAGAAAATGTTTCTTTCTTTCTTTCCTTTTTTTTTAAATTTCAGGTTCATTGAGGGCACAAAGAATTAGGTTACACTGATTGCATTTGTTAGGTAAAGTCCCACTTATAATGGTGTCCTGCCCCCAAGAGTTGTGCCAAATACCAGCAACCCCCAACCCCCTCCCACCTCCTCTCTCCCCCTCCCTTGTTCTCCTATCTGCCACACCTTGAATTAATGTGAGTGTTTCTGTTATGAGGGTATGTATTAGATCATCTACTGCCTCCATAGCAGAATTGAGTACGTTGGCTTCATGCTTCTCCATTCTTCAGAAAATGTTACTGACACCACTGTTTCCTCAATGCCTAACATAGTGACAAGCTCAATATAAATGCCAAATCATATTCACTGACCTACTGATTGACAGAACAAAGCTACCCTAGAGATCCAATGGTGATAATAATACTGTTATATCATCAAATCTGACAGGCTCATATCTATAGTACATAAATGTTTTACAAGTTACTTGATGCCTGTGGTTTTAACCAATTACCACATATGACCTATGTGGATTGTTGTCAGATACTCCTAAATTTATAAGTAAAGATACTTATTAAGTAATGACACTACTTAATGTCTGTATTTATTGGAACCAGTAGGAGTAAGCCATATAGGTATACTCCTCATAAACCAAGTTCTAATTGAAATTATAATTATTTCCCAATAGATCACTAGAGGACTTTGAAAATATCAGTGAAAGGAAAGCAAGTTGTCATTTCATTTAACTACCTAGTTCTTAGACATAGATTGAGTTGGTCCTAATTGGCCCTTTTGCCCTAATGTTATCACCACTTAATTATAAATAGCCTCAGATACTGGTTGACCTCACAATTAACACCTGAATTTAAATGCATAGTGTCATACTTATTTATTTAATTTTTGTTTTCACTTGGAATTTTTGATCCAGAATAGCATAATATGCACCTATATTTGTTCTTAAACATCTTACTTAAAGAAAATTTAATTTTCCTTTTGCCATTATTTATCTCTGTCTTCATTTGTGGGCTGCTGTGTTAAAATTAATTTGCATTTCAGACCTAATGATTTTATATTGCTATTAGAGTTGTGAAATGTTTTTACTCAGCACAACTAAGAACTGATGTTCTACCTCCCACTAATGGACCTTTAATTAGCACTGTAATGAACCATTCTGTCATTCCTCCATTTATAAGGGGAAGATTTTACATATGCAAGATACAATTTTGACAGAACACCAGGTCCATTGAACCTTGCTGACTCACATCTAATAGACACTAAATTTATTGTGCTTTTGTCAGCTGTTGAACTTGTCATGTTAATGACAATGTCCATAGACTTATGTTGCAAAAAACAAAACAAAACAAAAAAACATTACCACACTACAGGAATGTTTGTTGACAACTTGATCAACGACTCCTGGGGTCCAATTCTAACTGTAATATTACTACTTCAGGACCTGGAGTGAGTTACTTAACCTCTGTCTAAGGATTAATTGGTTAATTTTAATAAGTGCTTTGCAGTAAATGGTGGGAAGTGCTCTGACTACTAACAGTGATAATAAAATTATAATGCAGTCCTTTATAAAGCATCAGGCTACCTTAGACTGTGATGCTATTAAGTTACCAATTAAAATACAAGCTAACTAAATTTACTCTTTGGAAGAATCCAAATTCCTAACAATATTATGGCCAGAGAGTATTTTTTAACTTAGTTCAAAAAGACTTCAAAATGCTCATGATTCGGTTTAAGAAAAAAATAAAAAAATAAAAGCAATAAAGGAAAAAAATAAAAAAGTAGTGTTTCTGTGATGATGCCCCAATTGTGAGCCAAGAGATGGAAGCAATAAATGCCAGTCGCACCTTAACCACAGATACCTATTAAGTGTTTGCACACTGACTAAATGTAGTTGTGGACATTATATTGGTTGTCCTTTTGTGAACTTTTCTTCAAACCACTTCCGTTTATTCATTCATTGATTTGTGTGATTGTTTATTTGTTCATTTTTCTATTTGGCAAGTGCCATTGGTGGGTGTAGTATCAAGGAGGTCCCGGACAAATAGGAAGAATGTTCATAATTAACAAAAAAAAATTCAGTAAAAGTGATCAGAACCAAAAGGTAAGTGTAGAAATAGTAACTTGGAAATTCAGAGGCAGGAGAGGTCAATTCAAACTTAAGGAAATTTTGAGCAGTTTCATAAAGGAAATTGCATTTGAGTTGGACATGGTCTGAGTGCCGGGGAGGCTGGAATTTATGGAGGTAGGGGAGATCAGAGTAAAGGAGAAGATGCAAATTTAGGATGCATACTAGTGCAAGCCTTCGTTATATGGGATTGTAGTTAGCAGTCTCTCATTTGCATGGAAACCATTTGGGTTTGTGAGAATAGTGGAACAAAAAAACAGAACATAAGTTAGAGTTGATGAGAGCTGTGTTGGGGTGCTCTGTGGCGTGGAGAACAGGGAGATGAGAGCAACGGTGATGTGAGTAATATGAAAGTAGGAATAAAAGAGTGTACATTTTTATTGTATTTTTATCTGAACTGTTGGTCTCTGAGGAACACCACTGAAGAGATAAGTTGGACAAGCAATGTGAAAAAGGGCATAGTAGGCTTAGAGTAGTGGCGTCTGTATACATAGGTCAAGGAGAAATTAGCTTAATATGAGAAGAACACTCAGAAAGGAAACATCAAATTAAATTTGTTTTCCTGCTGCAGCAGAAGAGGCCTCACCGTAGCATCATATGCAAGGTGTTTTGTGTTATGCTTAATTCTCAAATAAACCAGTGCCTGTAGCTTGATTTTATGCTGTTCCATGTACTTTATACAACATACCAAGACCTAAGTCACTCTCTATAAGATCCTAGACGACATTAAATGATCTAAGGAGCAAAATGCTAAGTAATTTTTTTTTTTTTTTTTGAGACAAAATCTCATTCTGTTGCCCAGGCTAGAGTGCCATGGCATCATCATAGCTCACAAGAAACAACCTTTAATTCTTGGGCTTAGGCAATCTTCTTGCTTCAGTCTCTGAAGGAGCTGAGACTACAGGCAAGAGGCACCATGCACAACTAATTTTTCTATGTTTAGTAGAGATAGGGTTTCACTTTTGCTCAGGCTGGTCTCAACTGAGCTCAAGCAATACTCTTGCTTGGGCCTTCCAAAGTTCTAGGATTACAGGCATGAGCCACTTGCACCTAGCCAAAAATTTTAAGTAATTTTTGAGGGGATGAGCCCTGTAGCTACAGTGCCTGGTGTGAATCTTGTTTCTCATATAAATAAAGTGGTGCTATTCAGAAGGTTATTTATGCCTTCTTAGTATCTTCTTCTGTAAAAAAATGTGCATAAAAAATACCTAGTTCACCAGTAGAATTAAATGAATTAATAAAACTAATGCAGAGAAACATTTATTATGCCTCAGAATCCCTTAACATAAAAAGATCTCAATAAATGTGATTGAGATGGAAAGCAATTTTTATTTTGGATAAAATGTACAACTTTTAAGAATAGATATAAAAGACAAAAAGAGGAAGCCTGGAGATCAGTTAGTAGTAATCCAAGCAAGAGATGCTGATGGCTTGGACGGAGACTGTGAGAAGGGAAGTGGTGAGAGATATTCAGATTCTGGGCGTATTTTATAGGTAAAACTCAGAGTGAAAACAAGATGTGAAACAAAGAGGAGCCCAGAAATATTTCCAATGTCGTCTGGTTCAAACAATGCCTTTCCTTTGAAAGACAGAGGAAGGCTAAAGTACAAGTTGAACATCCCTAAGAAGAAAATCCAAAATCTGAATGCTCCAAATCCAAATCTTTTGAGCACAATATAATGCCACAAGTGGAAAATCCAAACCTGATCTTATGTGATGGGCACACAATTATTAAAAATATTTATATAATTACCCCCAGGCTATGGTGTAAATGAAACACAAATAAATTTCATGTTTAGACTTGGGTGCCATCTCCAAGAGATCTCATTATACATATGCACATATTCAAAACTCAGAAAAGTCCTAAATCTGGGATAACTCTGGCCTGAAAGATTTTGGACAAGGGATATTCAACCTGTATAAGAATTCTGGAGTGAGACTAACAATTTAAAGCTAAGTCAAGCTGTCAAGTAGACAATTAGATATAAAAATCTGAAAATGAGGAGATATGTTCAGCTGAAGATGTAAATTTAGAAACATTCATATTTGGATGATATTTTATAAGACACGCATTTGGGTGAAATCACGTAGGCAATGGTCACATATGCAAAACATCTGGAAAGCTTTAAGTAATATGGATACCTGATTCAGGATAGTAACATCAATCTTCGTAGATCATGTTTGGGAAAACACATTTTATAAAAGCTATTGAAATCATTCTAAGGTGCAAATTGTACAGGAATCACGGACTTAAGAAATAAGTGTTATAAAAAAAAAGATATGAGGACAGAGCTGTCAGTCACTCTATGTTTAAAGCTGGAGATAAACATTTTAGCACCAGATGTATTTCTTATAATCAATTTAGGTTACAAGAGTATTAATGTAAACATCAAAGCATGCTGCCAAACAGGCTCCTGGCTGTTGCGATTACTTACAGTACTGGCATCTGTCTCCTGTGTATTCAGCCTGGCAGTGACAGTGAGGCTGGTTCCCAGCAGTAACAATACAGGTACCTCCATTTTGACAAAAATCTTCACAGACTGTCTTGCCACAGTTTGGCCCAGTGAACCCCAGTGCACAGGTACATGTGGGTCTTCCTATCAGAAAAAAGGTAGATAATAAATGCAAATTATTAGATCTAGACAGTTTAGTTTTATGGAATTGTCACTGGATAAGAATTATGAAGCAAGTTTTCTGGTCAAGGTCTGTGTCCATAATTTATTTCATAATTTGGGGCAGTAACATGATCTTTTGGGGTCTCAGTTTTTCTACCTATCCAAGAAAGCCTAGATTAAAAGATACCTAAGGTAGAATTAGGTCAAATTTTATGAACAAATTGAATTGTACTTATACACATTTATTGCATGCTTAAACTGTTCATATTACTCTTTGTTCTTCTTTTTCATGTTCATTTTGCCTTATCAATTATTTTTGCTCTACTCATCTGTGGTAATCCAGATTGCATTTTCATCATACATAAAATAGAGACAATTTTATCTCGGTGTTCAATCACTATCTATCAAACAACAGCTGAATCTACACAAGGCATTAGCTTATACATATTCTAAGTAAACTTTTAAATAAGTTTAAAGTAGGCATGCCATCTATGTGATTAGCTTTATTAACATAAGCTAGTTTTTATTTAAATACATATACTGTGTTTACTATATATGAACTTACTAAGTCTTATTTTGTCTAATTTTAATATTTTTATTCATGATAAGGGGCTACTACTTCTCATCTGGTAAATAACAACATGATTTAGAACTTTAATCTGAACAGCAAAGAATAGTAAATATAACAGATCATCTTTGATTATTTTTATTTGTTCTGTGGGAACTAACATTAGAGAGAATGGTGAGCAATTCTTAAGATGTTTAGAACATAATACAGTTAACCGTTGTATTAGGAATAAGTCTAACTGCTCAGGCTGAGGAAGGACTGAGAAGGAAATGGGAGTATATACCTAGCTCAGTAGGAGGCGAGAGGAAAACAAAACAAAACTAATGGCTATCATTTAAATGGGAAAAGAATGAGTTAGAAAAGGTTATAAAAATGTAAAAACACAACATGAAAGAGAATAAGAAAGAAATTCCATTATAGATTGCCATTAACCAGGACTCAGGCAATTGCACTCAGTTGGTTAGCATTAGAGAATGTCAATGCCATCCCCTCTCTCATGAAAGCGAAAGTGTTACATGGTTAGAAAGATTCATGGATGTAAGTCTTACTAAGTGAGAAAATGATATAATTTTTCTGTATTATCATGGATCTTCCATTAAAAGACAAGTGTATATTCTTTGAGAAGCATTCTTAAATGAATAATTTTAAATAAAACCCACCTGCATTTCTGAGAGAATGAAGAAATTGAGGCTCTATATTTATTTAATAATTAATTATACTTGGAAATGACACTACATACTCAAGAATGGTAGGAACTGTTGTTCTAAGTGAGCAAAGTAACATTTTTTTAAAATGGTAAGTAACACTTCAATTTATAAATGTTATTAGTTTGGTGACAGATAAATGACTATGAATAGCCTGAAAAACAAAGTAAATTCTACATATATTAAAATTTGAGTAAATTCATATTTTCTGTTGCCAGAAAATGCTTATTAACTTTTATCTTGATATCTTCCTTAAAATGGCAATACATTTTTCTAGTTTTTGACCTAGAAACAAAATGCCTTCACTGGCACATTAGGTGAAAACTAAAGAGAACAAACAGTGGTAAGAAGATGAAGAGGTTGATTCCTTTGGGAACATGATTACTGAAGAAAACAAGAGCCCAGAACAACAGAAGGAATGCTTCTTTTTCAATTAGAGCCTGTGACTGACTCACAGAGAAGTAGAACAAGTACACAATACAAATTACCATGGGATGAACATGAAATGATCCATGCACAGAGTACAGAAGAAATCAAAGTTCCCTGGAACAATCACAAAAAGTGCCACATGGAGGTGGGATGTGAACGCTGTGGATCCACAATTTTCTAAATTACTTTAGAGTCTTTCTTGTCTGTTTTTTTTTAATTGGGAGTGAAAAAAAGGAAAATGATAGAAGTTTGAAAGAAATAAACACTACTTGCTAAGGTACTTGCAAATTCCCCTATACCAGTCAATTGGAGAAATGACACTCTGTTTTTAGTACTTTTATTTTACTTACAGCTGTCTTGAAACTAGAGCAAAGTGACCAAGTTGTCCCTAGCTAGTATGTGCCTTAGATCATTCAAATTCCAGCTGAATTATTTTCAAAAGCTCTTTTTTCTCTTCCTTTGAAGAGAAGATTTCTTTTTGACAAGTGGAATTCTTCATATTCAGGGGAATGTTATCTAACTGAAAGTGTATGGTGACACTGCACATCTTTTGTTTGCTGATGGGAAATGAACCATCTGCTGCAGAATTGTATAATAGGCTCCATCTAATATTTGCCAGAGTCTCTCTGGGGGCACCCTAACAAGTTGCATTGGATTCATTTATAAAGATTTTTGAGGTAGCAGATTTGGTTTTGATATTTGTCAGGGAAACAACCCTGTTATGATGATTGTGGCATAGATTTATGGCAGTGATGCATCCAGGGAGCTGGAGAATTGACAGCTCATCAGGATAGACCAATCTGAAAGAGCACCAATTAACCTGAGGAAGGAGGAGGAGGAACTGTTTCCTAGCTCTAAATCAGTCTAGTTTCTACAGTGCCCTCAGTTCAGACAGTAAGAGCATAGGTTTTCAGACTGCCTGGATTCATAGTCTACCTGTGTCAATTACTGGTTGTAGGACCATGGCAAATATTACCTTTGTGTTTTTTCTTCAAGTACAAAATAGAAATAATGATAGTACCTGCCACATGAAGTTATATGGAATAAGTAAGATCACACATGCAAAGCATTTCTAACTTTAACAGACACCCAGAAAGTACACAGTTACCTTTTAGCTCTGATTACTCTTATTCTTTCTACTGAGTGAGATTCATCAGTTTTAGGTTTGTTTTATTCTGCGATTGTGTCCATAAGGGAACTATAACTGTTTAAGTAGACCATTCTTAAATTTTTATTAAATTACCTGTTTTATCTCCACATATATTTAAGATAAAATTACATTTGAATTTATTTTTGTGGTAGTGATGGGATACAGCTGGACTTCTTCATCAACTTTATGCTCAAACTATAGCATTTTCTCAAACTTTGAGGGCGGGATCTTTCAAAAGAAAGAAGCATACAACACTAAACAAAAGAAAAAAGCAAAGTATTTGTATTTGCCAAGTCAATCTGGACAACTCTAAATGATGAGATTTACATTGGAATCAGATCTGCCCTCCTAATGTGAGTGGGCATCATCCAATCCACTGAAGACCCAGGTAGAACTAAAAGGGTGAAGGGAAGGTGAATTCTCGTTCTTGAGCTGGGGCATCCATCTTCTCTTTCCCTGGATGCTAGAGTTCCTGCTCTTGAACCCCTAGACTCAGAAGTTTACACCAGAATTTCCTCCCTTTCCTGTTACCACGTTGCTTAGATCTTTAGCTTCAAACTGGAAGTTACATCATTAGGTCCCCTATTTCTCAAACCTCTGGACTGAATTACATGACTACCTTCCGGGTTCTCCACCTTGCAGACAGCATATCAAGGGATTTCCCTGCCAATGCCCATAATAAATGTCTATCTATCTAATCAATAGTAGATGCTCCTTAGTTGACCACCTCCCTACCTTGACCACTTCCTAAGTTGACCTAATTTTCACAGACTAGACAGACACCACATGCACAAGGCCTAGTTCCTATGTGTTGACCATCTCCTATGTATGTTTACCAATTTGTCACAGTCCCTTGGGTGGTCAATTTGAAGAGGTTTTATGTAGCAGATACATGTATGTATATATATGTTTCTCTATGGTTCTTTTTCTCTGGTTGATCCTAATACATATGCATACAATATATGGCACTTAATTAATTCCATTTATTTATACTGTTTCTGTTCATAAATAGAAACTAGTGGTGCATGTACTCTGAAGTTTTCAAGCAAATATTCTCACTACAAAGTAATAATAAACTATTGACCTAGAAAGCCAATAACAGCTAATGTCACATATGATGAAGATGTAACTAAAAATTGCTAATCATCTATAAGCAGTAATAAATATTATTAAAGAATCTTCTTTCATACAAACATTGCATTGCTCATAAGAGAAGCAGACATGTCTTGGAATCTCTTAGAGTTCTTTAAATTTTGCTTATATCAAATGCCCTTTACATAGCAAAATTGGTCTCAGTAAAAAGAGCTGATTCTAAAATATCTCATAATTAATATTTAAGAGAACTAAAATAATTTAATGTAGTGTTTAAATCATTTGTTTTTGGTATTAGGCAGATCTAAGAATAAAATTTTGTTTGATATTTACATGGTGTGTCTATAGAAAACTAGATTTCTCCTCTGCCTTTCATTCTGTGAATGGTGATAGAAATATCAGGTAAAATGCATGTCACAATCCCTGCACATAGCAAGTACTCAATAACTGATGGTGTTATAAGTTGTAGAAGTATTGGCACATTATTGCTATTATTATTAAACTAATTATCCATGCTTAGGTTATTATTTAAACATTACTTTGCCAAGAAGCTTCACATGCAATGCTGATGCTCATTTTACTTATCATATTTATTCTTTTGGACATATCATGCTCATAGATAATCACATATCAATTCAAAATAATATATTTTTAAATGCATAATGATATAATTTTTCTGTTGTATGGATAATTAAAAGGGTATTATAATAATTTATCTTTAATCTCCATTAAGTGATTATTAAATTATATGATTTGGTTACCTAGAGTTATCTCTAGGTAAACACACCTTAACTATCTATCACCTTTAGTTAGATAGCCATACTCATCTATTTCTCTCAGAGGAACATATAATGCTGATTTTCAGTGATATGTAGTATTAGATAATAACTTGGTGCATTGGCTTTGGATAATCTAAGTTCTAAGATTCAAGTTCTATCACTTAACCACCCTAGTTCATATCTGAATAATATCACAATGTATACAGTTATTAAAATCAAGTAATATATTTAAGGAATTTACCAACATTCTTGCTATTTTA